TCATTGGTGACAGTTGCGGTGTCAGCGCGTATTGTGCCTCAGATATCCCTTTGAACAGGTTTGTCGAGTATACCGCTCAAGGTGTTTGTTAACCACTCTTCTAATAGCCTTTTCACAGCCAGTGGAGCTTCTCCTACTGCGGATGTTGAAGTTTCCCTCTCGCGCGAGACAGTCACGCTCTCGTGCTGGGGGGTGGGGGGGAGGGGTGAGGTATCTCCCTCGGGTGTAGCACCTGGTATTTTCATTGTCTTCCCGGTCGGCTTCGTTGATAGAATATATAAGGTTGCTAGTGACGCCTACTATTGCTTTTAATCTTGCTTCCCCCTTTCCTGCCATTGTTGATCTTTGCGAGGCCAGGAAGAGGTGATTATTTCTTTCAAGGATCTAGATGAAACTAAAGTCTCAGCTAAAGAAATCCCACAGATGGCGCCAAATTATTTGATTCAAAAGATATTGGAACCTTATTGAACAAATCAATCAAAGAAAATGAAGGGGTAAATCTCAGCTAAGCATAATAAACTCTAGAACAGAAGACACAAGTAATGAACACGATGGAAAGTATTTGTTGATCTTATGAAAAAGGCGGTGATTGTACAGTGAGAATGACAATCTTCAATATATGAGAGATTTTACAAGTTCTGCTTTCAACTGAAAAGGTCCAAAAAATCGAAGAAGATTACAGAGGAGAAATCAGAGAGAGAAGAAAAGCCCCGCTCCATGGGAAGACTTCTCCCCTATATATATTTATGGAATTCACTATGGGTCAATACAAATTCGCACGACGTTTGCTGTCGTAGTTCCCTGAGTGTCGTTCTTTGTCACGGCGGGCATTATGGGAACGAGGTTTTGGATTAAACCATGTCGTCCTTCACTATCTCATCGCTTGGACGGGATCTTGGCCAGGCCGACTGCAGCGATCAGATTTTGACCAATACACTAGTAACTTAAAACGATTAGAATCCCAAACCCATAAGGTTGAAATTCTAGCTCCGCCTCTGCTTATAACTCTGCAAAATCAAGATTGAATATAAAAGAAAATTGGTGGGTTCTGATTGGAGCATATATAACCATGGTGAGTGAATTATAAGTATAGCACAAAAGTAAGGAGTTAAGTTATATATGCTAAGGGGTCGTTTGGTTCGAAGACATGTCATGCTGGGATTAGTTAAGTTGAGGTTAGTTGTACTGAAATTAATTATGCTGAGATTAGTTATCCAGGTACTATTTCTTATTGACTGTTTGGTATGTTGTATTAATCCTGGGATTGTCAATTTTACTACTTTATCCTGGGATAACTTATACTAGGTTTATTGCACTCCTTGACGGGTATTATAAGTTATTCCGATCCTATTTTTTATCTTGAGATAATATATCCCAGGATTAACAACCAAACAAGGGATAAGACGGTACTAATTTTTAAACCTAGGATTATTTTTGCTTATCCATCGTACCAAATGACCCCTAATAGTTTAAAATATTTTTATATCGTTTGTGTGATTTAACTTCTTATACCAAGTTAGTTACTCCATTTATACTAATGTACTAATCGATGGTTATTCTATAGAGTTACCTATAATTATCTTTTAAGTAATCCGATTAAATAAATATTTTTACACTGTCAATACATAGAAGTTAAACTCTAAATTAAAAAAGGAATTTAATTAACTTATAAGTTTAAGTTATACAAACACTAATAGTGTAAAGATTTTTTTACACTATCACTTCACTCAAAGAATATTTACGTGTAAGACTCTTTAAAATGTGTGATTTGTAATCTTAAAAATAAAACACATTACCTATTATAATAACAAGTAAAAGTTACTTGGTGACACTTTTTTTTTTGTATTTACGGTATATATTACTTAACGTAAACTTTAACTTATATATACAGATAATTTGAAGAATTTCACACGTGTGTATTAACATGTTACAATAGGTAGTTTATCTTATTTTCTAAGTTATTGGTCCACTTTTGTTAGAAAAGATATTTGCATTTATCTTTTAAATGGCCTAGAAAAATTAAAACTTGTTAAAAACCAAATAAAGGACCCCAAAATTAAGCAATAACTAATGCAGCAATTACTAGATGAGCTAAGAGTAATGTACGACACGTCCACTCCCAAGGAATCCCTGTCCTCGGGTCCTGAAAAAAATATTGTAATGATCCGGTCGGTCGTTTTCAGAGTTATAGTTCCGTTCTCTTATTTACTGTTTTCCCCGTATCTTGTTCTGCTTGTGTGACTTGCCGGGAGGTTTTGGTTTTTGTTTCGGAGTGTTTTGGGACACTTAGTCCCTAAACGGAAGCTTAAGCCTTAGAAATTTGACCGTAGTCGGAACTGTGTGAAGACGACCCCAAAATAAAGTTTCGTCGATTTCATTAACTCCCTTGGGTGATTTTGGACTTAGGAGCGTGTCTGGACTGTGAATTTGAGGCCGGTAGCTGATTTAGACTTGAAATGGCGAAAGTCGAATTTTTGAAGATTTTGACTGGTAGCGGACTTTTTGATATTGGAGTCGGATTCTGATTCTGGAAGTTGGAATAGGTCCGTAATATTGAATATGACTTGTGTGCAAAATTTGAGGTCAATCAGACGTGGTTTGATAGGTTTCGGCATCGATTGTAGAAATTTGAAGTTTCAAGTTCATTAAGTTTGGATTGGAGGGTGATTTTTATTTTTGTTGTTGTTTGACGCATTTTGAGGGCTCAACTAAGTTTGTATGGTGTTTTAGGATTTTTTGGTATATTTTATTGAGGCCTCGGGGGCCTCGGGTGTGTTTCAGATGCTCAACAGATCATTTTTGGACTTGTTGAAATTGCAGAAATTGCTGGCGTTCAGTTGCTGGTTTTCTGTTATGCGATCGCACGAGAGGAGACGCGATCGCGTAAGCTTGTTTGGGGGCAGTGTCACTTTACCCTATGCGTTTGCGAGGTGGGGTATGCGATCGTGTAAGTTGGTCAGACTGTGCATCGCGAACGTATGGGCTAGGACGCGTCCGCGAAGGGGAAGTGAGGCGACAGTGGAGTTAAAGTTTGTTCTTTGTGGTCGCGTGGGGATGAACGCGATCGCGATCGCGTAGGTTTCAGTAGCCAGTGGTTCGCAGTCGCGTGAGGCATAACGCGTTCACATAGCATATTTTTTTTAACGGTTGGAATTTTGTTCTACGCGATCGCATAAGATGTTCCGCGATCGCGTAATGTGAGCACCTGGGCAGAATATAAACTTTTCAAAAACGAGGGTTAGCCATTTTTATCAAAACTTGAGTTTGGGAGCTCGGAATTGGACGAGATTTTGAGAAATTTCAGAGGCATCATTTGGATAATGATTCTACACTTGATTTTAGTTATATCCCACTAATCTATCATTAATTCCACCTTTTAATTGCGGATTTGGGTTGAAAATTTGGGAAAAATGGGAAAAAGTTATTCAACTAAGATTTTGGGTTTTGTTTGAGATTTTGATACCGGATTTGGATAATTTTGGTACGAGTGAACTCGTGAGTGAATGTGTGTTCATATTTTGTGACTTTTACCCGATTCCGAGACGTGGGCCCGGGGAGGCTTTTTGGGGTAATTTTCTAATTTCTTGCTTTAGCTTTGATTTCACTAATTAGATTAGTTTCTTATAGTTATATTTATGGTATGTAATTGATTTTGATAGATTTGGGCCATTCAGAGTCGCATATTCATGGAAAAATCATTTTTACCAGTCGATTGAGCTCGGCTCGAGGTAAGTGGCTTGCCTAATCTTGTGTGGGGGAACTCCTTGTCACGACCTGGATTTCCCACTGTCGGGACCGTGATGGCGCCTAACTCTTGATGCTCAGCAATCCAAACTCTGATCAGTATGGCCAGTACCGGGATCTGCACAGAAAGTGCGGAGAGCAGTATCAGTACAACCGACCCCATGTACTGGTAAGTGCCGAGCCTAACCTCGGCGAAGTAGTGATGAGGCTAGGACACGACAAACTATATAAACCTGTGCAGTTAAACAATATACAACCAGAATAACAAGTAATATAAATTAAGCAGAAATGAACGGGAAGGGGCAATATGCTATGGGGGTATCAAAATAAAGAATCACAACAGTAAGGGAATATAAACAGCTAAAACACCTTGAACCGATAATAACAAATAAACACAATAACCAGAAAATGAACGTCATCACCCTTCGTGCTTTTACTCTCAATCCTCACCATCCAATCAATAATAGAAACGTGCACGACATCATGTTTCGTGCTTTATTACTCTTCCTGATTAATAGAAATGTGCACGGCATCACCCTTCGTGCTTTATCACCCTTCCTCACTACACGAATAATAGAAATGTGCACGACATCACCCTTTGTGCTTTATCACTCTTCCTCACCATATGAAACAACATAAACAATAACTACCCTACAAGGGCATCACTCAAACAACTTCGTTCCATCATTTAATTTCACAACAGAAATCTCAACTTGAGCCAATACTCAACCAATATCCAAACTAGGAAAAACATAATAAGACTTGTTTAATATGAGTAATAACTAGTGGACATGTAATTTTTGACCCTTCCCGAGATTTTATACATTTTAGCGTTTAAATAGTTAGTTTAGGTCTAATATCGCTATTTTAACTAGTTTTGACCCTTTTACTTTATTTTATCACAAAAATGAAAATTACAAAAATATTTTCTCTTATTTAGCTAATTGATATTTTATTTAGTTACTTTTAGTTTATCTACCTTTCATAATATTAAAAAATATACAAAAATAATTTCACTTTTAGTATTTAGTTTTATTCTAGTAATTTATTTTAATTAGGAATGATTTCACAATTTTATAGTTATTATTTTAGGAATTAATATTTTAGTCTAGTAGAGTTAAAAGGCCACTTTTAAAGGTAAATTTGGCCAAAATTTGGCCCAATTCGAATCTAGCCCATAATTCCTAAGCTCATACTCCCCTAACCTAAAAATACCCTTACACCCTAACCCTTCAAAAGAGGGATCTCTCATAAAAAAGCTCCCCAGCCGTTTAGACCTTTCTTCTCCAACCAAAAATCCTAAGACCTTCACCTCTCAATCACCAAGAGCCATCAGCGAAAAACAGACCCTTCCAAGCCACCGCCCACCGCTGCCTTCTTCTTCATCTTCACACCCAAAACCAAGAAACCTAGGACCCTAATCTTGAAAATGAGATTCCAGCCGCGACTCCCAAAATAACGAGACACCACCCCAATTTCTAGTCAGCCATTTCCTCTAAAGGAGAAGAGCAGCAACGGCCTACCGCCCTCGACTCTGAGCTTCTGCCGCCGACCACCATTGTACATGCCTCTCTTCCATTCCCCCTAGCCATTTCCACTAGAAAACAACCACAACAGACACACAAAACCAGAAAAAGAGAGGATACAGAGAAGGAAGGGATGGGGCGAAAATAGTGACAGAACGTGAGAAGGGACAAGAACAGTCCAGTATATGAAAATATTCGAAGCATTATCGTCCAAGTTCGAGTTTGGGTTTCGAGCTGTCCGTTTGCAAATCCGAGGTGCCGATTCGAGGTCCGTTGTTGAATTTTGTCGCGGTTCCGTCTTTCGTTAAGCGTTTTCAGATTTCATTTGGAAAAAATATATCTAAGGTCCATTTCTAAACCTTGTTCTTAATTAATTTTCAGTGTTCTTCCTTGCGTAGTTTTATATCGAATGAAGTTCTGCTTGGTTGTTCTTCCTTGCGTAGTTTGATATCAAATGAAATTCTGCTTGGTTTTTTCTTTTAGTTTACACAATGGTATGCACATTACATTTCTGTTTGGCATGGGAGTACTAAACGCTTATTGATGTCTCATTTCTTAAAGAAACAAACGTGGGATTTTAATAAAGTAGGACAGAAATTGATTAAGAAAAGATTTCAATTCGGAATTAGGTATATTTTTAGTAGCTTTTATTTCACTGGTTGTTCCCATTGTCTTTTCCTTTGCTTTGTAGTTTTGCTTGTTCTGAATGATGTGCGAGGAGTAGGGGATTAGATATGAAAAAATGGAAGGAAATTCAATTTTACCTTTTTCATTGTTTTGACCGATAGAAGAATGTTTAGGCCGATCACACGTGGGTAAGCAAATTTTTCGGCGCGTAAATAATCATCATGACTATGGGTACGGTTCCCGTGGCATAGTTGCGATACATAAATTCAAATTCGGGTGTGCATTTCATGTGATCCGACCACAACTTGAAGTAATAAATAAAATAAACATGTTGTAGATCGTGGGTACGGTTCCTGTGGATTCGCAATGTGTACAAAAACAAACGAGTGCGCGACATCGCGACTTGTTCAAACAAATTCCATAAATGTTAAAAGCGGTTAAAAGGAATAAAATGCACATATGGTTTCAAATACGTAATAAATCAGATAATTAGGTCAATTATTAATAGTTAAGTGATCGTGCTAAAACCACGGAACCTGGGAGTGCCTCACACCTTCTCTCGGGTTAATAGAATTCCTTACCCGGTCTTCTGTGTTCGCGGACCACAAATAGAGTCAAATTTCCTCGATTTGGGATTTTAAAATAAACCGGTAACTTGGGACACCATAAATTATCCAAAGTAGCGACTTTAAAATAAATAAATAATCCCATTTCAATTAATGTCACTTTAATAGGAAAAACTCTCTATCCCCCTTTCGGGAAGAAGGAGGTGTGACAACTAGTTTCAACAGGAACATTACGTATAAAGAAACACAACGGTCAGAAGTATAGGACTCACTTGCATGCTATGACCCGACAACAATGTATAGATGCTCGTCACCACACCTATACATCGTACTTAACAACTAAACAAGTAGAAAATAAGGCAACAACACCTAATCCCTCAAGCTAAGGTTAGCCACAACACTTACCTCAATTCCACGGCCAAACTCAAGCCTCAAATACCGCTTTCCCCTTAGTTTCCACTTTGTAACGACCCGGCCGGTCGTTTCATGTGTTGCCGCTCAGTTTTCCCCATTCCTACTTATTATTGTCTTGTTTAGCTGTATTATGTGCTATCGGGTTGGTTGGCTCAGGTTCGGAGAGGTATTGGTAAGGTTTGAGACACTTAGTCTCTTTTGAGTAAGCTTAAGTTGGAAAAGTCAACCGGATGTTGACTTAAGTGAAAAAGGACTTGGATGTGAATTTCAAGCATTCGGATAGCTTCGAAAGGTGATTTAGGACTTAGGAGTGTGATCGGAATGTGTTTTGGAGGTCCGAAGTAGCTTTAGGCTTGAATTGGTGAAGGTGATTTTTTGGCGTTTTCCAGTTGCTAGGTGAGATTTCGTTATTGGGGTCGGAATGGAATCCCGGGATTTGCAGTAGGTCCGTTGTGTTATTTGGGATGTGTGTGCAAAATTTCACGTCATTCGGACGTGGTTTGATAGACTTTTGATCAAAAGCGTAATTCGGAAGATTTTTAGAACCTTAGGCTTGAATCCGATGTGATTTGGTGGATTTGATGTTGTTTGAGGTGTTTTGAAGATTGGTATAAGTTTGGATAGTGGTATGTGACTTATTCGTGCTCTTGGTTGAGGTCCCGGGGGCCTCGGGGTGATTTCGGATGGTTGACGGAAAGTTAGGAATTGGGAGTTTGCAGCTGAAGTTTTATGGCTACAATCATAACCGCATCTGCAGTTGGAAAGCCGCATGTGCAACTCCCGCAGATGCGGAAACAAGCCACAGAAGCGGCCAAGAAGTGAGTCAGGCGGAGCTGCAGAAGCGGACATTTGGACGCATCTACGATGGCACAGGTGCGAGAGAGTGACCGCAGGTGCGGTCCCAGACCTTTAAGTGAAAACCGCAGGTGCGTTGGGTTAGACCGCAGAAGCAGGGCCGTAGAAGCGGTAAAAAGACCGCAGGTGCAAAATCCCTAGGTCAGAGAGTATATATTTCATCCTTCGCGATTTCCAGACTTTCTTCACATTTTAAAATGGTTTTTGGAGCTTTTTGAGGGATTTTGAAGAGGGAATCAGAGGGAACTTCGTTGAGGTAAGATTTTTAAGCATAAAACTCGTTCCTATGGTGTTATTTCATTGATTAGGCTTGAAATTTTTTGAAAATTGTGGGTAAATATTGAAGAAACTAGGGTTTGAAATTAGAGACCTAGAATTTGGGATTTGAGGGGTTATTTGTGGTTGGATTTTGGTAAATTTGATATGCATGAACTCGTGGGAAGTTAAGGATTCCATTGATGTTAATTTTGTCAGATTCTGAGACGTGGGCCCGGGGGTCAGGTTTGGTTAGTTTCGGGATTCGTGTCGTAATTTGATTATTTTTGCATGGGCTTCATTCCCTTAGCATATTTTGACGTCATGATTCTGATTTTGGTTAGATACGACACGAGTTGAGGCCAAGACGAGAGGCAAAGGCATCGCGGGTTAGAGTTTGGACCGGATAGAGGTAAGTAATGATTGTAAATGTTGTCCTGAGGGTATGAAACCCCGGATTTTACATCGTTGTGCTATTTTGAGGTGACGCACACGCTAGATGACGAGCGTGGGGTCGTGCACCGTCTGGGATTGTGACTTAGTCCGTCTCGTATGACTGTTTAACTATGTATTTGGTTGAAAATTGTTTGCTATCATCATGTTTTGGGCTGAATGCCAAATTTGGGCCTCGTGCCAACTGTTTGGACCCTTAGGGGATTCTACTACTATTCCTCACTGTTTTGACTTAGTATTTGTATTCAGTCAGGCTATATTCTACTATTTTCACAACTCAGCCATCTTTACTCATTTTTGATATTTTAAATGATATTTTGGGCTGAGCATTCATGTTTTACTGTTGCCCGCGTGACTTGTGAGATTCTGACTGAATAAGGCCGAGGGCCTGTGTTGTAGGATACTATGGGATCGGGCTGCGCGCTGCAGCATGTGGTACTGACTTGTGATATATGAGAGGCCGAGGGCCAGATTTATTATGCCACGAGGTGGCTTGTGATTGATATAAGGCCGAGAGCCTGTTGATTATGCCACGAGATGGCTTGTTTTTGCGCTTGGGCCGTAAGGGGCCCCTGCCGGAGTCTGTACACCCCCAGTGAGCGCAGGTACCCATGTGATATAGCCCGATGGGCCAATGTTGTTCCGTGTTATTGCCCGAGGGGCTGATACGAGTGCTTGTGAGATAGCCCGAGGGGCTGGTTTCTGTTGGTATTTTGCCGGAGGGGCTAATTTGTGTTTCTATCTTTTATCCCTGTTTTCATTTATTCATTTGAATTGCTAAAATATGTTTTAAAGAGGTTTTACTGAACTGTACGCGGTGAAATCAGAGGGCCTGATTTCCCACTAATAAGCCATCTCGGGGAAGTGCCTCGAGACCCCGAGGACATGAAGCCACACCTTAGTCCTCTCCCTCGGGGCTGGTCAAGGCCCGATTCGAGGCCAGGTGGAGGCCGAGACCAGGACAAAGAGAGGAAGCTCCCAAGACACGCGGTTGAAACTGACAAGGCCGGCCTATCCAGAGCCTACGCTGAGGCATTGCATCAAGCCATCCCATCTCCGTATTTTGTAATTAAATATACATGTATTTGCAACTGAGTTCCTCGCCTATATAAGGGGACTCACCCAACCTTGTAAAGCACTGATGTTGCTCCACTTCTCCAATAAGCAGTAATATCTCTCTCTATCTCTTTCTTCTAAGTTAACTATGTTCTTCGACCCCGAGGTCTCCCTTGCATTTTATTGTTCTTCGTTTGTTCTTCGTCATTTAGCTCAAGATTGACGGTATAAAGCCTTGTATACACATTGTCGATGCCCCCTTTTTTCTAAAGGCGGAATCGGGTTTACGACATTTGGGCGGACAACTCTATCCTTTTTGGGAATTTGGGTTTTGAGGTTTAGAAGAGTCGCCACCTAATGATTAAGTGCATTAGGACACTAAGAAAGAAATGAAGAGAAGAAGAAGAACTAGAGAATGGGTAAGGGCTTAAAATTATCTCGGGGGGAAGGTGTTAGGCACCCCCAAGATCCACTAGTGTGGTTCCCGGCCATGCTACAATTGTGACTTTAAATATAAACAACAAATAAACATATAGGACAATTCTCACATAACGATTGCAAGTAGGGGAAGTATAAAAGTTAAATAAACGAGTTGAAATTTGGGACTAGGCAATTTCATTATTTATTTCAAGAATATATGAGTGCAGAAGAATGGGAGTCAAATAATTGATACAAATAATCAGGCAAAGGGATAAAATGGGGTGACAATTTGGGAGAGAAAAAAAAAGTACTTGGACATTTAAAGAGATTTTTTTAAAAATGATTAAAGCAAAGGGCAATTAAAAAAATCGAAAACTGCAATTTAAAAAAAATTCTGAAAGAGAGAAGTAAACACATAAAGAGGGAGGGGGTCCTAGGCTTATAAATAACATGGATCACCCACGCAACACCCGGTAACCAATTATACACGTGGTGTTATCGCGTGATCATCATATCCATGTCTACCCTTTTCCCACCTCGTTAAGGTACTAAAGCGCGGAATGGTCTCGTTACTTATTGCATGCTACTACCCGCCCCAATCCTATCAGTCCCGGAGGCAGTTAGGACTACTAATCCTAGAGGGAAGGGATATTGGCTTTTGAAGTTTAAAAAGGACAAAATCTAGTGCGACAAACAAAACACATAAGAGCAGTTAAGGGGGAAAACACATAGCTGTTAAGGCTCAATTAGGCCTCAAAGCAGAAATTGTTTAGCATGACTTACAAGTACTGGTTAGGTCATTAATTAAACTTACGTAAAGGGGGTGGCTGATTTATCACATATTTTTAGATAAGAAGTCCGAATTAGGCCTGCCTGCTGGTTGTAATTATTAAAGACTGGTATAATTAATTGATTACCTAATGGTTTGCCTAGGTGAAACCTATAGGCATGATATCTAACAAGGTCAAACATACTGATTTTAAAGAAGATTACTGACTTTAGAAATAAACCAATTCTACAGATGTTAACAACATTATTACTGATTTTAGACTTTGCGGGTGAATCAAATTTAAACGATTGCTCCTATAGGCATGAATTCTAAGCGTTGTTAATTCTTAAACGGTTATGTAAGTGCAGGAATCCTAATAACATGGTATCTAAGATGCAATTGATTATTTTTTTAACCTATGGATTGTTTGCCTAATGACAGGTGTATGTGCAGAAGTGCAGGAAACTTATAATCATGATTTCTATATGCAGAAGTGCAGAGACTTATAGACATGATTTCTAATGAAATGCATAACTTATAGACAGGATTTCTAACGCAGTAATGAAACAACTTATAGGCAGGATTTTTAATGCAGTAATGAAACAACTTATAGGCAAGATTTCTATATGTAGATGCATAAACTTATAGACATGATTTCTATATGTGGATGCATAAACTTATAGGCAGAATTTCTATATGTGGATGCGTGAGCGAAAAAACAGGTTGTGATTGCAGAAATAAATACCTAAAGCATGATGTCTACCCACTTGCATAACATGAGTGACCCTCCCCTTTTCACTATACACACCCAATAGTTACTACAAATTATTACAACCCGAATGAATCAAGAAAAATAAAAATAAAAGAAAAAATTACATCAGAAATTAAAGTTCCAACCAAGGAGAGCCTAATTCAGACTCCTAGTCTGAAGCATGAGATAAACTAACTTCCAAAGATCAGATTTCCAAAGCCTTTCTCATCCTTTGGGTGTGTCAAAGTTCCAAGGAGCTTCATGAACTCCAGGCAGTGCTCACACCCAATTACATTTGCAGGATCAGATTGTAGTGCAGTGTGGAAGGGCCAGCCCTCAAATGTCCAAGTTCAGAGGGAACTCAAGGTCCCCAAGGCAAGGCTCATAGGAGGGGGGCAGAACTTAGAGTCTAAGGATAAGTGTAAGTGCAATAGAGGGGGAATTTAGGGAAAGCCATGACAAAACTAGTGGTCATGCCCAGCAATTAGGATGCTGGCACACCCCTGACCAACCTGTCAGCTTGAGTTTAGGAGTTAGGACCTATTGAAGGTCAGGTTCAGACCTGGGCAGCAGTTTGGATGCGGCCAGGCCATAAACTTTAACTCAACACACATAGGGGAATGGGGGTATGGGGATTTTATAGCAAGCAGTAAACATAAAAGAAAGAACATGCTTAATACAGAGTATAAACAACAAAGTAAACCAGAACATGGCAACTGTAAAGTAAACACATAGGGAAGGAGTTTTGAAATTAAATTGGGACATACCAGTTTTAGGGAAAACGAATAAGTAATACAGCAGTCTTGAAAAGTCAAGTTGCAAGCAAAGCAGTACAAAAGTCTCAGAAGAGAGTAGAGATTGAAAGAGTATTGTGATTGAGAGTATGCGTGTGAGAGTATGAGTATTGAACTTAGGATTCAAAATTTCAAAAGTTGTTTTAGTGCTGAAGGGTCGAGCCCCTTTTATAGTGTAGCAAAAAAGTAAGAACAAGGTAAGGAAATAACATTGAAATCAATCTCCCTTTAATTAAGGGATTCTGATTTCAAACGGGTAAAAACAATTATGGAAAGGGATTTGAAAAAATATTTTCCAGGCAGTACAGTAAAGGGTAAATACATAGAAGTTATTTAAGGCAAAATTCCAATGGTACACGGTTTGTGTGAAATAAGGAAAGGGAATCAATCAAACAGCCAGTAAAATCAAAGTGGAAGGCTTTGTTCGAATGAACCAAGTCGAGAAAAGGTAAAGATAGTTCAATTAGAGAAAATCAGTAACAATCAGTCAAACCCCATTAAAGGAATTGAGAATCAATTAGTAGTTGGCAAAACCTTTTTTGAAAGAAGAACTTCTCATATATAAAGCAGACAAATCAAACAAAAGGGGTCGTCATGTTACTTAGAAAAGAGTCTAATATTGAAAGGTTCAGAATCATAAGCAAAGGGAAAAACAAGTTCAGTTTGTAGACTCATAGTGAGTCTGAGAGTCCAGGGTTCCAATGCAGAACCCCAGTCCAAACACCAAATCAAACTTGCCAAAGAAAACCCCAAATCCTAGGGTTTCAAATCGAATCAGACATAGAGATGAGAAGGCAAGCCATTGAAACAGACTCAAAGGTCTGTTTCAGAGCCTCATGAGAAACAAAACAAATAGGATAGCAGGTTTGAAACAACAAAGAAAGAAAGCTGATTTAAGAGCATAAAAGAGCATGTTTTAGAAAAGACGGAACTTAAGCAAGTTCAGAGGAAAAGAGAGGTGGTGTAAACTTAAGCCACAGTAGATGAAACATGCTTAGCAAGTACACAAACAGAGTCTAGTAAAGCAAACAAAATCAAAGAACTCAACAGTAAACACATATAGTAGAAGAGTAACATAACAAGGATTAGCATGTGAGCATAGGAGTAACATGTATAGTAGGAAAAGAAGAAGCAGAAGAACAACACACGCGTAGTAACAGAAAATATACGAGCATAGTATAGACAAACACACATAAAGGAAAGAACAGCAAGAATCAGAAAGATATATTTTTTTTTGAAAACCTTTCAGAAACCCTAAATCGAAAATAAACAATTTCGAAAAGAAAATTTGGGAAAAATAATTTAGAGGTCCAGTAGAACACAAACATACCATAGATCTAAGAAAATAAACAGAGAAAAACCTCGAACAACTTAGGGTTTCGGAGAAACCCTAGAAATGAGAAAGGCTTGGAAAAGTCAGATCCTGGGTCGAAGAGGTCAGGAATCAGGCTTCTCGTGCTTGAATATGCCGGAGCATGGTCGGAGAAGCCATGGAACCAAAGATCTGAGAAGATCTGACAGAGAACCATCAAAGTCAAACATCAAAACCTCGAACTCCCAAGGTCTAATGGTGGAGAGGGCTGAGTATAGACCATCAATGGCCTGAGAAGCCATGGATTCCGGTGAAAGTACGGAGGAAAAGGGTCGGAGACAGGCTAGGGTTCTAAAAAAACTTCGAGAGAATTTTGAGAGTGGAGAGTATTCAAGGGCGGCGGACTAAACAAAATGGGGGAATAGGGTATGGTTTGGGGAATTAAAAATGGAAAGGGGAGATCGTGACCGTTGATCAGATTGATCAACGGTCTAAGATTAAAGGAGGCTTGGGTCGGGTAGTTAAATGGGTCAAGGATACGGAATTGGGCTAGCCTGGTTGGGATTCAAATTGGGTCAATTAGGGGGGGTCAGTGTGGCTATAATCGAAATGCAAATGCGCTGCAATTGAAACGAAATGAGGCCAAATTTTAAATAGCCAATTTTACCCCTTTTATTTTATAAAAATAGTAAAAAATGATTTTAAATGCAAATTAATAGTACTGAACCAATTAATAATATATAAATATTAATTAAAAATATTGAAACGAATTTTACAATTGTAGAAATGCTATTAATCTTAAAATAGGCTAAAATTGCAATTGTATGCAATTTAGCTTTAAAAATACCAGATAAATTTGTAAAAATATAGAAAAATCACCTTGACTGTATTTTAGTATAAATATGAGAATAAAATAAATTATTCACTAAAATTGATAGTTTTGGGAATAATTACCGACTTTTGTACTGCTAAAATGGCTAATAAATTAATTTTAAAATCTTTTAAAAAAAATTAGGAAAAAATACCAAAACACTTAGGCATGCTTAAATAGCATGTACATGTTATTTTGAAAGCATTTTGTGTATAAAATACATAGGGAAAAATTTGGTATCAACAGCTGCCCCTCCTTACCCAGGAAGGATGAAAGAGTTGTCGGGTAAAGACATGATGGCCAATTTTGACCGAATGAAACGGTTTGAAGAATTTTGACCAAGCACTGGTTCCTGAGCATAGAAGTTAGTTTGGGTACTTAGGGAGCATAGGAAAGCTGTAGTTAAATCTAGGACCCTCTAGAGTCTTCTAAATAGGGCCGTAGTTATAATTTCAGAAAGTGAGTGGGATAACTTGAGTAACAAGTCAGAAAATAGAGGGTTAAGTAGAAATAAGTGAGGGACTAATGTGTAAAACTAAATATCTGAAGCTGACCCTCATTTTGTGCCTATAAAATGGCACTCTCATGCCTTGTTTCACAAGTTTGGATGATCTGAAAAATTCCCAAAATTTCTAGCCTTCAAAATTTCTCCAAAAAACCTCTCCTGCGAGCTATAGCATCAAAATTTGAATTTCAAATCAAAAGTTCAAAAAGCTGAGCTCTTATAGTTCAAAAGTTTCCCTTAGATCCGACTTCCTTCAAAAGCAAAAAACCAAAAACAAAAGGAAAAATACAACAGAAAACTCAAAAATACTGTTCCCTTGAGATTTTAGATTAATTTCTGGTTTTAGTGTTCGATTTGCATCATTTAGTTTAAATTCTGATTGCCAAAAGTTGCCGGAGGTCCCTGAGTTGAATTCAAACTGAGTTTGACTGCTTCGAGTCACTTGTGGGTCTGTTTTACTGGTTTTGTTTTCACTGCTGGGTTTCCAAGTTGACATTGTTGTTGCTCTCCTGTGTTTAACGCTGCAAATTCCTCACTACTGCTGCTGACTTCTGCTTCTTATTGTATTTCAACCTCCAGGTACATATCCTGACTTTGAGGCCATGTGAACATCCAGTTGAAAGATGAAATAAAATCTGCTACATGATTTTGTTATAAACTTGTTGTAGATATTTTATATTTCATATAATGTTCCTTGATTTGTTAATATCTTATTGTAAATAAATTTGAAACTATCGGGGACTGTTAATGGACTGTATTGGACTGTTATAACTGAACTATATAGATTGCTTCTGTTTTAGTTTTATATTAATACAACTATGCAATGCTGGTATGAGTCGAGTGCCTTTAGAATTTGCTGGATATGATTAATAAACAGGATCTGCAATTGTTAAGCATGTGCTGAAGCTTGTGTTTAGATAGATCAGGAACTAGGAACTGGATATAGGTTATTTGCGTGCCACCGTTTGAAAGTCGAAATAAGATCAGATTCAGGGTAGAAATATTTGAGACCATCATTTTCCCCTTTGTTTGACAATGTAACTCAATTACCGCTAAACTTCAAATGTGATTGTATCATAAGCTTCAAAT